CCCGTTCTGACCCGCCACGAAATCGCAAGTAGTTTGGGCCACACCTAAGCCCCAATCCCGCACCACCACCCTGCACCACCTCGAGACCAGTAAGGACGACAAATCGTACATCGATCGAGAACCTGAGAATGGCGATACCCGACCCTCGGGCGGTCTTCCTCCTCCAAGGACCGACTTACAAATTTACTTTATTAACTACTGGTCATATTTTTGTGTTACAATTATGCATACTTTATTTATAAAATGTCTTACTCTAAAATTAAAATAAAGTAAAAACTTGACATTTAATAATATAAATATGTATTTTATTCCTATAAATGATGGTGGATCCAACTGTAGGGTATGCAAACTCAATCCCATATAAAAAAACTTAAAGGTTCCAAGTCCAACGTATAAGTTAGGTGGACTTTTCTTCTATTGTCAATTGGACGTTTTAGAATAGAACCTCATTTGGACTTGTATGTTGGACTTGATGGAGAATTGTATTTTGAGTTGTTGGTCCTAACAATTGGTATCAGAGCCACGATTGGTAGGCAGTTGTGATGTGGATGACGTGACATGTTCCCTGTGGAGCCGGTGGACGGCTGGTAGATCCGTGTGTCTTGTGTCAAAAGTGTTCATGAAGAAAGGGTGGTTAGGCAGCGGGTTCCATGGGTGATAACGGTAGTACAAGATGGTCGGATCGTATGAATTTCGTTCAAGGGAGGCCCAATGTGGTCTTGTGTTTGAGGAGATGTTTGTAGGTTGTGCAAACTCAATTCCACGTCGAAAAATTAAAGGTTTCAAATTTAATATATAAATTTGATGGACTACTCCTTCTATTGCCAATTGATTTTATAATGCAACCCATTATTTGTACTTGTATGTTATGCTTGGCGGAATTGATTTTTTTGAGTTGTTGCTACTAACACCACGTCACCAACTGCACATTACTTTGGTTTTTTTTTTTTTATTTATTTATTTTTTTTATTTTTTTATTTTTTTATTTATATATGCAACGCCCATTCTGCTCTGCACACTTTATTTGCCTCCACTTTCTCATGCGAAACTCTCTCTCTCTTACTCACCAACACACCGTCAACGTGATACCTTCCGTTTTCTCTTCAAATCCCTAATTTTCATCTAAATCGGAAGATGAAATTGAGAAATTGCGAGCTGTGCGGCACGGCCGCCGCCATCTACTGCCCCTCCGACAACGCATTCCTCTGCCAGACCTGTGACGCGGAGGTCCACGACGCCAATTTTCTCGTCGCCCGCCACGTTCGCCGCTCGGTTTGTCCCATCTGCTCTAATCTCGCCGGGGACGGATTCTCCGGCGCCGACTGTCCGCCTTCCTTCGCGACCTGTCCGTCGTGCTCCCCGGCCTCCGACGACGACGGCTGCGTCACATCCTCCGGTTACTCCTCCGATTGCATCTCGAGCACCGCCTCGCCGGCGAAGGTGCGGTCCGGCTGCTCTTCCGGGGAGCTCCGCCGCCGCCTCGGCGAATCGCGGCGGGTGGACTACGCGGGGGCGGAGGGGGTCTTCGCCGAGTGGTGCCGCGGGATCGGCGTCGCCGGCGACGGCGCGGCGGTGAGGATGGCGTGCAAGGGCCTGAGGGCGTGCTCCGGGAGCTGGGCAGCGGTGCCGTACCGCGTGTGCCTGGCGGCGTCCATGTGGCTCGGGTTGAGGCTCGCGGGGAACAAGTCGGCGACGTGGCATGTGCTGAAGCGGCTGGAGGAGGTTTCCGGCGTGCCGGCTGGGGTCATACTAGCGGCTGAGCTGAAGCTGGAGCGTGGCTTGAGGGGAGCGAGGCGGCGGCTGCAGAGGCGCCGGGTTGAGCTGGAAGAGGGATGGGCCGAGTGCTGACGCGGCGGAGCTTTGACTACGGTCGTTGGGTTGTGTTTGTGTGTTTAATTTTGTTTTCTTTTTTCCTTTCTAGTAAAAAATAACTTTTTTTTTCGAAAAAAATAAAATAAAATTGGCCACTTGTAATTCTTTTTGTGATGTGGGAACATGCTTCCAGCGTGGGATTGAATGCATTATTGTTTAATTAATTAGGATAAATAACAATTAAAGTGTTATACCACTATTATATGATTAATATATCGTATTCTCCTTTAATTTCTCATTAATTTCCCTTTTATTTTCTACCATTGTGCAAGAAAATTAAATGTTGATTTTAATATTGAAAAGTAATAATGCAGTATAAGATAAATTTGAGAGATTTAAAAGAAAAAATCGCGATAAATGTAATAAATTTTTATAACAAAAAATCAAAGTCATATAATAATGTAATTACTTCGAAGTACAACACTTAAACGATACAAGTCTTGAGCATAGTTGGACTTGGTAAGGTTTAGGTTTGTTTTAATAAATTAGTAGAGCTTGAGCCTTTTTAGTTCACATGTTGAGCTCATCTTATTAAGGTTCAAAAATAAGTTTTTTTTGACCAACATAGATTGACTCAAGTGGTAAGCAGCTTGATGTCACTTAAGCGAAGTTTGGGTTCGAGCTTTGTGGATACAGAAAACTCTTGTTGGGAGACTCACTCACCACCACTGCCAGGTGGGCGACCCGGGTCGACCAACGAATTAGTCGGGCATAGCTCCGGATACCGTGGCTGGCTACCCAAAAAAAAAAATATTTATTTTTAAATATAATTTTCTATAATTCAGTTTTTTTTTTTAAAGATCAAATTCCCATCATTTTATTAATAAGCTGAACTCTACCTAGAATTTACACCTCTACCTTCCAAGGTTTGTATGAGTTTATTATTTTTTTTTTAAAATTTTGATCAGACCAATTGAAGAAAATTTACTTTATTTCACTTAGTTTGCAGTTTATTAGTTGTGGGGGCTATATTAATAGTAATATAAGTGTGATTATTAGCTTGCTTAATTATTTGGGACATGTGTGGTGAACCTGACTGGTGCAGCCACAGCTGCTCCATAATTAGCCACAAAAACAAGTTGTGGTGCAAAACAACTTACTAATGTAATATGAAATTGCTAAATATATTGGTCATCAATAGAGTCCATATATTTAAATGAGTCTACTTGGAAAACAAAAAAAAAAAAAATCTTTTCTTAGTCAATTTCCAATTAGATCTTTTCTTGGATGTGTGGGGCTGAATGCTTGACACTGAGCACATAACAGAAGCAATTGAATTAATTGACAGCCTAGTAACAATTAAATTCAAAGTTCTGAACATTTCATTAAATTATGTTTGGGCAGTTATCATTGGTAAATAGTTGGTTCAAAATTAAGTTTAGCGTGAAAATCGTTATTTTTTAATTGTATATAGTATTATGATTAACTGTGTTTTAATACTGTTCTTAGCCAGGATGTAAGTTATTAAAAATAGCAATACAATTTATATTAACGGTAATGCTCCCCTACCCACGGTGGACACATGTTAATATGTCCACCGCTTATGTGGCATGCACTAAGTGGTGATATTAAATTATGTTTGGGCAGTTATCATTGGTAAATAGTTGGTTCAAAATTAAGTTTAGCGTGAAAATCGTTATTTTTAATTGTATATAGTATTATGATTAACTGTGTTTTAATACTGTTCTTAGCCAGGATGTAAGTTATTAAAAATAGCAATACAATTTATATTAAAGGTAATGCTCCCCTACTCACGGTGGGCACATGTTAATATGCCCACCGCTTATGTGGCATGCACACATTGGTCATGTGTTTTTTTGAACATATTAATATCACCAGTTAGTGCATGCCACATAAGCGATGAACATATTAACATTTGCCCACCGTGGGATCATTACCGTTTATATTAATATTTCTAAAACTAATAGCACCATGTGATACTAAAAATAACATCACACACGATTAAAAATAATATCGATTCTCATACTTCTTAGACCAGTATTGATTTTTATTTGAACCAATCCCTATAGGATAAATATAACTATTATTGATTCTAAAAACCCATCTATTGAGTTTATTAGAAATTAATATTTTAGATAATAAAAAAAGAAAAAAAAAGTTAAACTGTTGTTCACGAAATAATTATATTAGAGATTATGGCGAGTCAAACTTCTATTTATTCTCGAATGCTCTTTACTCCAGAAAAATGCTTATTACTTCGATAAAATCAGACAATGATGTCCTCGTTGAGTTTTCTACCGTTGGATCAATTCACACTTCTGTGTGAGCGCGACTGTGAGTGATGTGATCCAACGATAGATGCCCTCACATCGGCGTGAGATTGAACTTGCCATGTGTTTACATAATAGCATTCATATAAATAATTGAAATAGTTGAACAATTTGTAGTGGAGAGCAAATTTAGCATCACAACTTTTATATCATGAGTGGTGCAACAACTTTTAAATAACCATACTTTGCCATATTAAGTCACTCCTCAATACATATGAACTTATTCTATTTTGCCCCCAATTTAGGGAAGTTAGGTGATTTTAGGTGACAGTTTTAAAACTTAACACACACGATTTGAACTACTTTCACCAAACTTGCAGAAATTTTTACCCAATCCATTTATTGTTTCACCCATGTGTTAAATGTGATCAACCATCCATTAAATGTGAGCTGTCAAAATGATTTTTTCTTGGGAAATTCCATCCTGCCATCTCAGAATAATCAATAAAATTTAGAAAACTAGAAAAGACTCTAAAATTGGAAGAGAGCTAACCATTCAGTCGGGATTTGTACCGTTAGATCATCATATAACCGTCTTGGATCGTTGATCTAACAGTTACAAACTCTGACGAAATGATTCCGTGACGGGACCATACTATTTCCCTAAATTAATACCAATTTAGTTGCTAAAATTGGTTGAAGACTACGGGTTTGGCACAATTTCTAATAATCAGGCCCATTCCTCATAATTCATGTGTTGGATCAAACGGGCCAAAGCCCATCATATAAGGACCCAAAATAATGAGGCCCACTTCAGTATCCCACAAACATGAACCTTAATGCCTGGGAAATCGCTTCCTTGTCGTATCTGACCATCTTTCACTCTCCCGTAGTCCCATGGAAGCTCTTTCGAGTTCGGCTCTGCAAACACAAAGATTCAAAGATAATTCATTGCTAATCCGCACTCCCAAAACTAGCAGCAAGCATTGTGCTTTACTGAGAGTCGGCCCGAGTCTGTACAATACGCCGTCGTTGCGCGTATCGCGGGTTTCAGCCCTCGCGCATGAGGTATCAGATGAGGACAGCGGCAAAGAGGGCTCTCGATCGAACAACGATAATGGGGTTCTGGGTTTGGTTTCTGAAGAAACTCCATTGTTGTCTGAGGTAAATTGAAGGAGGAATTTGTTTTTGTAGTTATTTTCTATTTTCGCGATTTGATCTTTCAATTTCATGGATTTCACCATCTTTTCGTGTTTATTGTTCTGTTTTCATTCATTTTTAAGCTGATTTTAGTGAATTCGGAGGTTAAGATGTATAAATATTCAATCCTTTTGTTCGAGTCTCGTATTTACGCATTAGTTTATTTTTCTGGTATGTTTTGATATGATCTGATCTTTTTAACTTCTGTGGAGTTCGTATTGTTTGTGCTGTTTTCTGGAGCTGCAGTCTATGGCAATTCGAGCCTTTTGCTTTCAAATATTTGTATGATTCAGATCGAGTTTGTGGACTTAGTGGAATTTGGTTTCGTACATATTCTCAAATTTAACACCTTTATAAGCTAAAAGAGTAAAACCAAGTTGGTCTTTTCTAAGGATGACATGGTTGTATATTTACGTTCTTATATTTGGTCTGGTTAAGCTAGTTAAACATGCTGGTATTAATTAACTAATATTAAGCTAACACTCGACTTTATGTTCGTTTTCTGATTTGTACGAGCTTCAGATCAAGTTCAGGCAACAAGGTCAATTAACCTTAGAGTATGGCAATACAGTACAAAACAATGTTATAGTGTTTTGTATGTAATATTTGTAATGTATTGTAGTATATCATTCATTTGAAAGGCAAACAAATTCATCCTGCTCGACATAAGCATGTCCCTGTTTCTGGTCTCGCAAATTAGTGTTAAATGTTATCAAAGCTTCTCCGGCATTATAAGTTAGACATCTCCTTTTATCATATAGTCCATCAATGGATATTTCAAATGGCTTGTTCGGCTTTGTTGTGATGGCGTATCTCATATCCTGAAGGGTGATACAGACGTAACAAACCTCAAGCAGAGTAGTGAAAAGGATGTAAAATTCACTTCACCGCAATTTATGGTCTCATATGGAAACATAAGTGGAGGAGGAACAAGAGCTGGGCTTTTCAGGACACCCATATCTGGTGGAGTGCAGAGTGCAACATCTGCTCATGGCTTGCCTAGACCAGCCTTAGCTGTTAGGAATCTTATGGAACAGGTAACTGTCTTTCCTTTTTTTCCATAATAACTGTTTTCATGTTCCTTTAACTACTGTTTTGAATCCCAGAACTTGCTAAACAGATTCTAACATGTACGATGGGCTTTTTTTCTTTTTTCTTTTTTTGGCTGCATTTTGATATGGGAAGGCTAGATTTGCTCACCTGTGTACTGTGATGTCACGTATGCACCACCGTCGAGAAGGTTATCCGTTTGGTTCGCTTGTAGATTTTGCACCGGATCCTCTCGGACGTAAGTTCACTTAGGTACTAAGTCTGTGATGGATATTATTTGGATCTTCTACCATGTGAATTTATGTTGTGTCACGTTCCATGGGAAATAAATTGTTCCTTCTTTTTGGAGTAATAGATGCTAATAGTTCACTGACACTGTAATTTCCAGCTTAATGTCTGGTAGAATCTTTTCACTATTTTCTGGCTGAAGTACCAATGTTTAATCATATTTCAGGTAAATTGGTTCGAAGTTGCTCATGATTGTATTGGAATGCAAGTTGGCAAGATTTATTCAGTTAGACGTACTTAATAATTTGATTGCATTATTCAATTTTTTTTTTTTCCTTTACCCTGAGAAAGCTATGAATCATACGTCATGTTCCAAGTTGTGATCAGAGTTTCTTTTTGCTGTATGTATGCTTCTGCATAGGTAAAAGCCATTGAAAGGATGTATTCTGGAACAAAGACCTATAAAAACTTTTAGTAATGGACACTGAATGCTACAACGTGTTTTCTGCAATTTCATATGACATATCAATGTACATCATCAACATCATCAACATACCCAGTATGACATATCAATGTACAAGTATGTAAAATTAACCAAGACCTCAACAATTATTTTTTGTCATTTTTGTTTGCAGATCCAATTTTTTCATTCTCGCCATTGGCTATACACACTAGGAACTTGTTAGCGGATCCAAGATGCACCTTGGTTGTACAGGTATATAGCCTCTTACATTTGAAAGTACTTGATGAATCTTGTTGCCGTTTTTTTTTCCCTTTCAGTTCTTATGCATGTGATGAAATATATGAACACTTATTAGATTCCTGGATGGAGTGGCTTGTCAAATGCACGAGTGACAATCTTTGGCGATGTATATCCCCTCCCTGAGGACAAGCAGGTGACCTATTTAATTGTAATAGTTGCTTAATTGTGATTTTCTCTTTGGCGGCCATGGGGGTTAGTCGAAGCTTGTCATTTCACTTGAGATCAGAAGTTGCAGGGAACCTTTCCGAGGAGAACCTATTTGGTTGCAGCTAAAAAGTATAAAAAAAAAAAAAATGTTTTTTTAATGATGGAAACTGAATAGTGGCTGTCCTTATGATCATTATACCTAATTCCGTGGCCAGGAGTGGGCTCATAAACAATACATAGCAAAACACCACCAAGGACCTTCTCAACAGTGGGGAAATTTCTACTACTTCCGCATGCAGAACATAAGGTCTTACCTCCTTTCCTTTCCTTTATTTTTCTATTTGGAAATAAATGATCTTTTTTGCTCTCTGAGTCCACCAGCCTGTAACATTTAGCATTTTCTGAGCATGTGCAAAAGGAAAGATAATGATTGGGAAGTATTCCTCCCACTGTACGGCTTAGGCGGCCTCAACTGCCCGACCGCCTCCGATTTGCATAAGTCGGCTGAAAAATCGGCCAGGCGGCGCCTAGGCGCTCCTCGGTGGGCTCGGCGGATTTTTTTTTTTTAAAATTTTTTTAAATACTAATTACATTATTTTGTTATCATGTTTTCTTTATAATATACTAATATTATTATTTGAACTTAAGTGTGTTGATTTATTATAAGTTGAGATAATTTTATTTTGTAGCTAGTGAAAACAATTACAAAATAAGGTATTTAATCGCCTCGCCTAGGCGCCGGTCAAGCGCCTAGCGACTTCTAGAACACGGATGAACACTGATTCATCCACAGGCAATTGCCATTGATTGGTGAATAGAATTATATAACAACACAATTCTTATTTAAAAGCTGCTAGTGTTTGGGTTTATGATGCCTCAGTGGCTCAGAATGCGTCACCCCCAAATTTAGACGCTCGATGGTTGTTTACTATTTTTCTTATCCAGTATAGGCTGATATTGTTGAGAATCTGGATATCCCAGCTGATGTTCTATATATAGGATTTTTTTAATTGTACTGCAAAGTAAGATATATATAAAAATAAGCAAAATGGATCAAGCTAATACCATCCACAGCTGAATCGTGCTTTTAGAATGTACTGCAATTTATCAGTCCAAAAGCGTTTTGAGTGTTCAATGACTAATGCATGTACAACATTGTTTCCAAGCTGATCAGACAAATAGCTGTAAATATTGCACGGAAATTAATTGGACAGTTCAATGTTATTTTGGCAGTGATATATATTTTATTGGAGGCTTTGGGACTGTTGCTTGGGTTGATGTTAATGAATATGAAACCATTCAACCCGATAAGATTGCCGTTGATGGGGGTGAACAAAATTTAAAGGTATCTTAATATATTGGTATATGCTTCCGCCATCTTGTATATGGATCTTACTTTGTTCATATGCTGTTATCATAGGAACTAAATGCACTATTTTCAAAGCCTCTGAGAGAGCTTTTGTCCAAGGAAGCTGAGGTAGATGATGCTGCTCTAATATCCATAGACAGTAAAGGAGTTGATGTTCGGGCCCGCCAAGGCGTCCAGGTTTTTCTTTGACATCTTCATAATAATAATAATAATAATAATAATAATAATAATAATAATAATAAGCTAGTTTGACTTTTTCGCTTTGTGGGTCTGCTGCAGTTTAATGTTCAGAGGATTTCATTTGAAGAATCGCAGGGTGTTGAAACATTAGACGAGGCAAAGAAAGCGCTTTGGAATATAATCAATAGAGGCTCAATACCGAATTTGCAAGAATGAGAAAAATGCACTCTGGTTTAACGGTGTGTACTAAGACAGTGAAAAGGAAGCTGTGTTGATAACGTCATTGGATTTGCAGAGCGACTGTGTGTGAAATGCATGAGCTGCATAATAAGAGACTTGAACTGCTTGAGGTATGTCACAGTAGTTTTATAGTTTGATGAGTGGCCTTGTGATGACTTTTGCGGGCATTGTGCAATAGATTGTGACTTGGAATTATATTCTATCTTCATACGTCTAATATCTCCCGAAGTTCAGGAGGAAAAAACGACATGTAAATTTATGTAGTAGAAGATGGTTCCTTGATGAAGTCATCTGTCATCATGATTTATATATTGGACGTGCCCAGAGTTGTATTCTCCATGGCATTACTTGAGTTTCGCACCCGAAAATTTCGAGCCTGGCCCATGGGACCGGCCCAACCCAGCCCTAAAAGGGATGGTTTGGGCTTCCGTTTATTGGTCTCAAAAAAGCGGGCCTGACCCCAC